TGGGGGGTGGGGGGGCGGGTAGGGCGCCGCCGGTGTAAGGCTCACAGAGCCCAGGGAGCTGGTTTCTCCCGTCTGCGGCCCACGCATCCCTCAGACTCGCCCCAGTGCTGTGGGTGAGGGAGTTGGTGGAGTCCCCACCTGCACCTGTGGGCATCTGAGCTGCACCTGGGCAGGTAAGGCCTGGAGGTAAGGGGGCAGCTTCCGGTGGCCGGCCTGCCTTTCTGTTTCCTGTGGAGCCCTCGGGTTCCACACCTGGTCCACCCCATCCTTTGGCTTTGAGGCTGCCCCTTGCTGGGCTCACAGCCCCCGGGAGACAGACGCCCCTAAGCTCTGCCGAGAAGTCAGTCCCTGGGAAATGGGTGGGGACACGGGGAGAAAGCATTTATGGGGGCTGCCACCCCTGCTTCTATCTCACTATGTGATCTGGGTGGGAGGAGTGGCTGCTCCCTCTGGGCCTCGGTTTGCCCCCCTGTACAGTGGGCTGTGTGAACCCTGAGGGGGAGGCCACCCCAGTCTGGGAGCAGGAGAGTGAGTCCTCACCTTCACAGTGCCCCTCAACATGCTGGATGACCCAGTCTCTGCCCTTTCCCCCCCCCATGAGCAGCCCTGCCAGATTTGGAGCTGGGGGCCCATTGGATGGAAAAGGAGACTGAGGTTCAGAGGGGTCCCACAGTCAGCCAAGGGGCAGGTCAGGACAGAGCCCTAGCCCGGGGGATGGAAGCCCCATCCACTGTGTCCCCTCCCCCGTTGACTGACTACTGTGCCCAGTGGCCTGACTTTCCCGCAGACACTGGGTTCCATGGCTCTGGCAGGTCCTCTGCACCTCGACCAAGAATCAGGACAGCCAAGCACCTGGGACACCCACCACCCTTTTCAAGCCTTCGTGCCTCCCTCTGTCAGTGGGGCCCGGGCCCTGCCCATCCCAATGCTTTCTGGTGCCTTTATGTCCTCATTTGGCCCTTTATGTAGAAGTGGGCTGGGGGCATCTCCCAGCCCTGTGATGTCCCCGTTTCCCGGAGGAGAAAACAGAGGCTCAGAATGGTTAAGTGGGATTTGAACCCAGGCCCAGCTGAACGCCCCCAGAGACTAGGAAGCTGGGCTGGTCCCAGAAAGGAGCTCTCTGGGGAAACGGCCCCAAAGGGTGGGTTAAGCCAGGTGGCACAGTGGGGGTTTGGACTTGAACGCCCCCCCACCCCACCCCCAAGAAACAGCAGCTGGTTCGTGGACCAGCCATGTGACCCCAGGCAAGGGACAGCGTCTCTCTGAGCTATGCTGAGAGGTGATGGGAAAGCCAGACGGCAGCTGGAAGGTTTCTGGGTGAGTTCTGGCTGCAACTTTGTGGGCTGGGGGCCCCTGGGGCCCGAGGGGCCGTGCACCATGGGCGTGGCGCCTGCCCTCTACTTTGTGGTGTCGTCTTTCTCCTCCTCCTCTGGACTTTGTTTCTTCAGCCCAGGTGGGGCCTGGGAGGAGGGGGTGCACCTGCTTCACGGGGCGGGGCTCTGTCCCCTGGCAACCTGGGGCAGGGCGGGGCTGGGAGGCCCCTGTGCCGTCCACAGAGTCAGAGCCAGGCTTGGAGGCTGCTGGGCCTCAGAGCCGAGAGGTGAGTCTGGGGAAATGGGGGTGCGGGATGGACGCAAGGCTTGGGCGGGCGGGGGTCCTGAGTGGGGTGGGCTCTGCTTTTGGCATGGGGGTATGTGTGCCAGCGGCACCATCTGCTCACTGGCGGGGCCTTCAGGGTACAGGGAGGGAGCCCCCAGCCCCACCCTCAGCCCCCTCCAGACTCAGTGGGGTCCCAGGGGCTGGGGGGGGCCTCCCCTCGCTCTGTACCCACTGGCTGGCTCTGAGGCCAGGTCTGTGCCCTTCCCACGCTGCACCCACCCAGGGGAGCAGAGGCCCATCCCTGAACTTTGCCAGGTCCCCAGTCTCCACCCCGGGCTTCAGGACCCCAAATCCAAGGGGCCTTGATCTCTGACCCTCTAAGTGAGGGGCCTGATCGGCACCCCCAGGGCCAGAGGTACAGGGCCCCCCACTGGTTCTGGGAATTCTGGAGGTTTCTGGGGAGATGCTTAGCATCTGCTTGGGGAGGCCTTGAACAGCCTACAACCCTCCCGTGGGATCGGAGGGCTCATAGGAGGGGGCTCATAGGAGGGGGTGTGGGGCAGTCAGCGTGGGGAGGTGTCCAGCCTCTGGGAGGGCAGCTGGGATCCTGTGGGGCCGGTTCAGAGACTTGGCCCAGTGTCCAGGTGTGTCCAGGGGTTGGGCCTCTGCCAGCCAGGGTCCCGGAGACTGTAGCCCCGAGTGACGGAAGAAGTCCAGGAGCCCATCCCTGCTGTGTGGCCTGCCCTGTCTGAGCCCCAGGCCCCTCCAGCAGGCCTTTGCCCAAGGGCGGGAGGCCAGTCGCGGTGATGAGGAAGCAGGTGTGTGGCACCAGGGACCGTAAACCCAGTTTCAGTTTTGGTATCAACAGGGTACAGAGTTGGGGCTGGGGAGGAGCCATCCAGGGGGGCTTCCTGGAGGAGGAGGTGGCGACTACCTGGCTTCAGAACCTGTTGCTCTGTCACCCCCTGGTGTGACCCCTCTCTGGGCCTTGGTTTCCTCTGCTATATGTTGGGGAGAAGAATGGTCCCTTCGTCACAGGCTCTTATGAGAGGCAAAAAAGCTGCCGGTGGGGCTTCCCTGGTGGCGCAGTGGTTGAGAGTCTGCCTGCTGATGCAGGGGACATGGGTTTGTGCCCCGGTCTGGGAAGATCCCACATGCCGCAGAGCGGCTGGGCCTGTGAGCCATGTCCGCTGAGCCTGTGCATCTGGAGCTTGTGCTCCGCAACAGGAGAGGCCACAACAGTGAGAAGCCCACGTACCACAAAAAAAAACAAAAACAAAAAAGCTGCCGGTGTGAGATGCCCAATTACGAGGATCCCCACCAGGAGCTGGGAGGCTCTGAGCGCTATTACTACTCATTTGCACAGAGTCCACGAAGCCTCCAAGAGGGCGTTTCTCCCCGAGGGTTTCTCTGCGCCAGGTACCCACTCAGGCCTCCTTGATCCTCCCCACACCCAGCGGTGGGGTCAGCAACGTCCCACTTTACAGACAGGGAGACTGAGGCTTTTTGAGAGAGAATGCCCGCCCCAAGGTCACTTTGAGATCAGTGGTGGATCCAGGGTATAAATAATAACGTCAGCCACTGCCGTGAAAGCATTTATCGAGTGCCTACTGTATACCAGGGACAGGGTGCCGAGTCTTCATGGCAGCCCTTCGTGGTGGCAGCTGCGTGCTCTGGACTCTACCTACTG